GTGTTCATTCTTGGCAACAAGTTACAGTTGTCTGTCTTAAAAATGGCTTAGGAGTTAATGTAGCAACTGGCTTAGAGCATTGTGCAGCTGCTTATGGCAAGGTAGGTTTGATTATCACTTCACTAAGCACTGCTGATTTCCTACAGCTTCCCATTTTCTAATTGTTAGAACTCTTTGGAATTCAAACTGCTAATGAGATTAATTAGGGTTTAATTAAACTCTTAATTAGAATTAACCCTAATTAAAACCCTAAAGAGAATATTTTTAGAACTCTCCACTAGCTAGAATTTACTGTCCTACTTGCTGTCAACTTGAAATACTGGTTAAAATATCTAGCTTCCAATTTAAGGTTCTGAGCTATTTTCTGTTAAATACAGATGTTCTCTTTGCACTGATTCATTTGAAAAAAAGAAGTGGCAAGTACCCTTCTAAAAATACGTAATATTTTAAAGTAAACTTGCCGCCAGCTACACTTTTTATTTTTTCTGCACTGGTTAAGATATTTTGTGTTAAACTAATCAATGATGTTAGCTGGTACACATTGCATCTGCGAGAATATGGCATGGGATCTGTTTCAGATCTGTGGGGAAGATCGTTTCATGAAATTGAGCTTGCCCTATGTTTCATTGGGGGCTTATCCAAGAGATTTAATATCTGTCTGTTACTGTGTTTTGCGGTGTGTTTGTTTTTTTTTTAATTATTACTTTGTTTTCTTCTGAACAGGAACATGATGGAGCGTTTCCAGCAAATCAATAGGATTCCCACGTGAGTACTTTTAGGTTCTGACTTTAGGTACTGAGCTTCCCCTTTGGCTGAGATGTTGCATTTCTGTTGTAGAATCATAGAATAGTTTGGGACCTTCAAAGGTCATCTAGTCCAACTTAAAACTGACAATAGTGGTCCATATTATATTGTTACTTCTGAAGCATGAATGTGTGTGTGTGTGAATGTGCCTCTGTCCCTGCGAACACAGGTCTTTGTTCATCCAACTGATAAGTTCCAAGACCTTTCTGTCTCAAAAAACGTTGAAGATGCAAAGGGGGGGTTTAAGTAAGTGGTTGATTCTTGAGATGTCATTGAATGTAGCTCTGGCACATGGAGAACAGTGCCACTGATGAACTTGGCATTAGGGATCAGTCTAAGCAGGACTCTTAAGAACATGTCATTTCCCATGTGCTCAGAAAAATTCTAATATGCTATTAACCAAGCTTAGATGCTTCTGAGGTGTCTGCATTTCTGAAGACAAGTTTATCAAGTCAGATCCTAAATCTTATGTGGTACCCTGTCAGGCTACAACAGTTAGCTTTCCTCAGGATTTTAGGGGGAAGATTCTGAGGTAGAAAACAACTTTCAGGGAATAGTAATGTATTTTGTTTGGGCATTTTTTAAATAAAATTAAATGCTTGGAGCTCGCCTAAGTGAACACCACAAGGGTGTGTGGTACCAAAGGCCGCTGTTAGTGGCACTCTCTGCTTGCCCTTTTCTGCAGACTGCCGCTAGTGTGGCCCAAGGGAGCCTTGACACTGCCAAGCTGCGTTAAAAGCCCGTCTTAATTCAGGGAATAGGGAAAGGATAAGAATTCTCCTTCTGAAATGGTGGTGTAGCTGTTGGTTTGTGGCTGCCATGGGTCATGAACGTAAAGAGAAATAAAGTGGTTTCCCTGCTGTTACCAAATGGATCAGAGGCTTTTCTGGCTGAACTGTCCCCTGCCTTCCTTTCTCTGCCAAGCTCCCTGTGGCACCAGCTGTGAACACTTACTTGTTTCCCTGCCTAAAGGCAAGAGAGGTGTCTCCAGCAGCTGTCACAGGTAAGGAAGGAGCAGAGCCAGCACTTCGACATGAAATAGAGCTGGCAGAGCAGTGGTTCCCAGTGCCCACAGACAGCACAGCAGCCTCTGGCAGTGAGACGCCTGCCTTTGATTTAAAGTGCTGTTATGCTGTTCCTTTACCTCTGCCAGCCACGTAAAACAGGGTAAGGGCCTGATGCGGGGACTGTAAAGAGGGGAAGGTTATTTGGGCTACTGCTAAGGTGGGGTTCTTATCTTCAGCGGTGAGCTGCTGCTCACTGTTTTTGTGCAAAGAGAAGTATTGCTTTCTGCTAGGACAGGAGTTCCCAAGCGCACCATGTTGGTATGGGGTGAAGGCTGACATGGAATTCCTGGCAGGAGCAGAATTGGGCTGGTTGAGTGATCTGAAAATCTGTCACCTCCTCTCCTTCTCTAAAGCACCTGCTGTAAGTTAATGGCCACCTCACCTAGGTCCCCATGAACAGTCACTCTTTGCCTTTGCTTTTGCAGTGACCAGGTGATGGATGAGTTCTTGAACTGTGCTAAACAAACCAATTGCCCAGATGAGGCAATTAAACTGGTAAAGCTGGCAGCATCCCTTGGTCTTCCTTCATCTCAAAGGCTTAAAAGCAGAACGGAGGAGGAATTTGTTCTCTCTGAAAAGCAGAAGTAAGTTGGAGCACTTCACATTACTGCTGAAGGTATAGTAGGGTGTTGGAGGGGTAGTTCCTGCGGAAGGGCTTCTCCACCAAGGTGGCAGAGAACTGGCTTCAGAATGATGTGCCGTTGTGTTGACTCTGGTCAATTCACACCCCCAAAATGGCCCCTCAGGTTTTGATTCCATGCTGTATCCATCCCACCTAGTGGGGAGGGTAACTTTCTGCGATGGGGTTAGCCTTATCCACTGCTCAGATCAGCTATCACCTTTCTTTCCCAGAATCTTTTCCTAGCTGGGTCTGGCCACCTAAAAGACACTGACTGCAGGCTAGTAAAAGCAGGGAGGTGCTACAGGACGGCCCTGCGTGTGGTTCACAGGTTTTTTGAGGCTCATGGTCAATCTTCTGGCCAGCCACTGTGGTTCGTTTCTGAGCTGATGCAGTCAAGCTCAGACAATGGGCTTAGCCTTGAGAGACCACAGTTTGGAGCCACTGGTCTGGTCCAAGGGAATGAAGAAATCAAAGTCCAGCACCCTTGACAGTTAGCCTGCCACTTTCTGGGCAACTCAGGTCGTCTTCTTTTCCAAAAAGAGGTGGGTGTGCTTCCACCAAATGCTGGGTGGACCTGTCCTTTGAGGGTAATAGGCATCAGAGAGCCCATAATGTTCTCTTTGGAGGGGGTTTCCTCTGTGTTTTGGCTATCTCTTTTCAAGCAAAAGCCACAATCAGGTGACTGATTACTGACTGTTTCACATCTGCAGGAAGACATTGGAGAGTATCAAGTCAGACAGCGACAGCAGCAATAGTGACAGTGACAGCGATAGTGACCGTGACTAGCTGTCCCTTTTGCCTTCCTCCCTGGACAACTAGGAGCAACCGCTGCCTTGACGCCAGGAGGCTTCCGTGAGAGGTGAAATTACTGAAGGGACAGCTTTTGGGAGGTGCTGCAGCACTGCTAAGCACTCCAGAGCATTCTGATACAGGACCTGCTTGGCAAGCGTACGTTGTCCTTGTTGGAGCAAGCTGGAAGCTGTCCTGTTTGATCTTCTTGGCAACTTCAAACACAGCATGGGCTACACCAACAGTCTCTTCCACACCACTACCTGCACAAGCTGGCTCCTGCCAGGTAGCTGCAGCCTGCTGAACCAGCTTGGCTCAGCTACTGGAGGGCTGCAGAGAGAGGAGTGCTGCTTCCTGGAGGCAGCGCAGCAGGTACAAGACTTTCACAACTTGAGCAAGACCTCTCTTGGACCTCCTGGGACTTAAAACCTATGCCAGATTTAATTCCTTTCCAGCTATCTTTAATGAACTACTTAAATATCAAGCTGACTCTGTATGTAAACACTGCAAGTAATGCAATGCTCATCACCTGTGGTGTTATTCCTCATCCTTTTTGTGTTTTGGGACAGGCTTTGGACTGTGGATGTTAAAAAGCTACCATCTGTACAGCTGGAGACTGCCTCTAATAAACAGCTGACATTAAAGCTGGCTGTGTTCTGGTAATCCCTGAGGAAAACCTGTTGATTACAAAGTGTTGTTGCTGCTCTGTGAGAAAGTACTTAAAGTTCATGCAGAATACAGCAATAAAGCTAACGAGGTGACTGTGAAGACAGATGACTGCGCTTTTCCATTCTCTGCCTTGCAGTTAACTGGCCCTCACAGCGTTGTCCTGCTGTTCTCAGATTGTAGAGGAAGCTTGAAGGTTTTTTTCAGGTAGTTATCTTAGGCAAAAAATGCCATCTTGTTCCTGAGAGGATTAAACCATATTCCAGTGAAAAGTAGTTAATAGATGATTGTCTGTCTTTGAAAAATAAAACCTTGATGTGCATGACAAGAACACACTGCTGTGGAAAGCAGCTTAAGGATAATTCAGTAATGAGTTTGGAAAACAACAGCTGCTAGAGGTAGAACAAACTGCAGCTGAAAGGCTGGAAGTCAGGTGTTCCTCCTGTTACAGGAGTGGAAGGGTTGCTGCAGAAAGCAAACATGCCTTTTCCAGGAAAGTGTGACTAGTACAGGTTAAGGGGTAGATCAAAGATAAAGCTCTTTGCTGTATTGTACCAACCATTTAAAACTGGATCAGCAAGGAGACAAAGCCACGGTTACTCATTTCAGCAAGTGGGTACTAAGTAGGTTGGATCAATCTGTCTTCACCAATGGTAAGAATCAAGGGAAAGGTAAGAAAGAAAGAGAAGGAAAGAGCTTGTTCTTTATGTGAGTTCTTATGGTTGAACTAAAGTCTGACTTCTAGAGAGAGGTACCTGGTCTTCCAAAATTAGAGAAGAGCAGGTCTGACAAGAAGAAACACACAGGGGTAGAAGTCCACCAGAATATGTGCTCTGACACCAGCTTAAGTTATGTCAACCTGTACTTGTATATGGATTTTTTTTTACAGCTGTACAAATTGATGAATAGACACATTGATCACATCAATGAATTCCTCCTCCTTGAAAGGAGGAAAACAGCTAAGTTTTGTCTTCCTCAGGTCTTGGAGAAGGGCTGTTCTTGTACTGCCCAGCTGTATTTGATTTTTAAACAGGAGACTGAACAGCAGGAGAAAGTGGTTGAAGTCTTGTTTTATTCAGCTGACAAAGTGGCAAATCATTAATGGTGGGTTACAAACATTATTTTGGTTGGATCACAAGCCCGCTTGGTAAGATGGGAAACAAAATTGTTACACAGATTGTAGAGAAGCTTCCTGAAGTTGGTTGTCATGGTAACTCAAAACCCATACAAATACAACAGATGGTGAAGTTAAATACAGTGCGAGGAAACAAGACGGTACCCGTGCTTTGATTTAACGCTTCCAGCCCCTGCCAACACCTTGGTTTGCAACCCTTAGGAGATCATGGGATTTCTTTCCGGCACAAACGATTGCTGAACTGCCCCCAAAACTACAATCCTAGCTCACTGCACTTGAGTTGTTCCTAACCCCACAGCACTGGCATATGCTGTCAAGATATCCACAATTTGTTTTGTTTCTAGGGTCATTCGAGCTTCGGTCAGCCAGTCATGTGCCACTCTCCTAGACTCTCCTCTTAACTGGTTGACAAATTTAGCCGCCAGCTCCAGATCTCCGTGTTCAATGCAATACGAAGCGTAAGACAGTAATTTAAATGTGTCGAGGTCATCGGGGCTGAGCTCAGGAGGTGGCTTCAGCTGTTGAGGGTGAAACACAAGCAGCGACTGCAGGTAAGACAGGAAGTATTGATACAAGCTGTTTCTTGTTTCATCGATCATAGCCACTCTTTTTGCCAGTTTTTGGACTGTGTAGAAACGTGCTCTGAGGGCCTCTTCGCTGTACACTCCCCGTGTCAGGGACTCCTGGGGGAGAGCAGCTGTTAAGGCTTCTGTAAACGCATTGTCAGAGCAACTGGCTTTGATGGCCTTCACCGCACTCTCCAGTGGTTCTGTGGGACTATCCCCAGAGGCTGTTTTCATGCAGTATTTGAGCGCTTCAACAGAAAGCCACAGCTGATGGGCCTTTCTGGCTTCCTCTTCTGCTACTGCGTGACCTGCAAAATAAGCCAAGAAGGGGACTCTGAGTTGGGCGCACACATACAGGCAGAGTTTTGAACACAAGCAGCAAAAGCCATCCCTCTAAACGCTCTGCTTTCAAAAGCAGCCGCCCCCTCGGCACTTGATCTTAAAGCGAGTCTGTCCACAACTCGGGGTCAGAACAAGATGACAGCTTTTGGGAGAACCAGCTTTGGACTTGCGCAGCTGGGAGTTGCTGGGCGCTCAGCAGTGTGGCAAACCCAGGCCCATGAGCTACATGCCTAAGTCTGGGTTTAAGCACCCAGGTTTGGGTAACAGGCCTTTAGGGATTGCGACTTTAGCGCTTAAGGAAATGCGATTTCAGTGCTCACTCTCGACTGCTTGCTCAATTCCTTTCAGCCTGGCGTAGGCAGTGTTAATATCCAACGTGAAGTTGTCGAGCTGTTCCTGAGTAAGGCGTCTGAATTGCATTTCTTGTTCACTGAGTTTCTCCGATAAGTTCTGAAACAGAACAAAATATATGTATATCAGACCAGAAACAGCTGTTTAATTACATTTACCTTATTTTTAAGATATGTTTCTATAAATCTGTTCTTGTTAGGGACAATGCATGTAGTAAATACAGTATACCAGTAAGAATACTTATTAGGGTGAATTTAACAGTAACAGCACTTGTAACTGTCAAAAATTTCTCACCTAAAAGCTTTTGCTGTAAGACAGGTCTGAATAAAACTTGTATGTTCAGCCACTTTATTGTATCTCTTCAAGATGAGCAGGCTTCCCCCCGCAGCCCACATTTCAGTCTTCTGGAAGATGGTTCAGGACTCTCGTCCTGTGCAGCGTGTGCTTTGCAAGGGTTCAAATATCCCCCTAATTCCCTTGGGGACTCTTGTCCCTTACCTGCTCAAATTCCACCTTTAGTTCCTGCTCCTGGATCTTCAGAACGTCTCTCAGATGGTCTGTGTGGGCAGCAGCCTGCCGCCGGAGCTGGGTCCTCATTTCGTTCTCCATCACCTCTCGGACTTCTTCAACCTGTACAGGCACGAGCGGTTGTTATTGCACTGCTCTTTTTCAACTGCTTTGATTTTATCATCTATCAATCGGTGATACCTAGGGTACATTTTATAAAAGTGCCATTGACAAAGCCCGCGTTTCATCTTAAAAAGCTGCCGAGGTCCATTTTTATAGCTGAACCTCTTTCTAAAGATGCTAAAGGATGGCTTCACAGTCCACAATGCCTGTAACTGGTGGCCATACTCACTAGGCACTTAGTGCAGTTATCAAAATACTATATAAAAGATACAGTAACATGACAAACTAAGCACTCCAGTGTTTATAAACCAGCTTCCAAACAAAATGTACTTTACCTTTTCCCTATGTGCTGCAATACTGTCCCAAGTTAGAGTTTAAGAAAATGGTAGTACTCCTTTTACCTGATCTTGTCCAAAACAGCCAATTTAGAGAGTGCAGATTAGCACAAGGGAGCATGGTGCAGGTTTATTTAGGAGCAGTTGAACAGTTTTTTGTTTTGTTTTTTAAAAGGATTGTGTCATTTCCAACCTTCCACTAAATACGAAAATGACAGTTCAAGTGACATTTTAAGAGAGCTCTAAATTAATACCTATTACTGCAGTGCTTTGAACTAACAGGCTATAGGTGAAATTCTTAGTCAGTGCAAATTTTTCAACTAATGGCCAGTGTTTAATCTCGTTTTCAGAGGCATGTATGTGAAAACAGCAGGAGTATTTGGCACAATTGTCTGCCTGCAATATGATACCTCAAAAGATAAAACCTCCAATGCCCAAACTCCTACGTTTGTAAGTTGCGCTTGTTTCATGTCCAAAGCAGCATTAAAATTCTGACTTTTCATAGTCCTTTTGAAAGAAATCAAATCAGAAACCACTGGCAAAGAGCAGAAGGACATGGAGATACCTCCTAGAGGCATGATGGAGGGACTACATGACCTTAAGATGGTCATACTGGGTCAGATCAAACATTTCTTTTGACCCAGTAATCCTATCTCCAACAGCAGACAGGTAACATGAAGAAGTCACTTCCCATTTCACTGTATGATTTTACCATTCTAACTTTGCAGAAGTTTCTTTGCTCAACATCTCCTTTCCACGCTTAGCCTGGGGGTTGCCCTATCTCTCAGGACATCCTGGTTGCTCTTCTACATTCTTTTTGAGCCAGAGATTCAAAGAGGTATGTTACACCACTTTACCTTCTTCTCCTGTTCTATTTCAATCTCACTTTTGTGATGCTCCAGCGCTTTGGCCACAGCTGCCTCAAACGCTTTTTTGTCTTCAAGCTTCTGCTTCTCCAGGGCCGACTCGATGTGCTGCTGTTCCCTCACTCGCTGCTCCGCCAGCTCCTTGTTTAACTGGTCGATGCGACGATGGGCGTGTGCAATGAGAGAATTTAAGTCGTCTGTCGATAACTGGCCAGCTAAAGAAAACACAGGGCATTAGGAAGGTCTGCAGGGAAACTGCTGCCATGGTGCTTGCCCACCTCCCACTCGAGCCCTCTGAGGCTCCATGTAGTTGACCAGCTAGCATGCTTTATGAGAAGTTTCTGAGCACTTCAAGACTTGACCTGTGCTAATGCCCACCTAATACCCCTTCGAGACACACCTACAAGCAGGTACTTTCTGTCTAGGAAAGAAATTATCTTAGTTTCTTTGAAATTATTCACAGCTATTATTTACACTCCCATATCCATGTCGCACTCAATTAGAAGAGACTGTTGAGAACTCTGTCTGTTTCCTGGTCTTCACACCACCATGTGTTTTTCCCCTGTGACAGCTGAGCACCGATACCTCCAGCTGGGTACAAGCTTATGGAAATTTGATCCTAAAAACACTGAAGTCATTGTGAGAGACAGCCAGAGTTACATTCTCTCTTCAACAGTCCTCCAGACCAACTGTTCCCAACAAGATTTCTTACCCCAATTTGTACCTTTCAGTTTGGCTACTCAAATAGCAGCAGGGGTCATAACTACATCTGTGTCTGCTAAGAAGTTTGCCATTTTTCTACTGGGAATGGAGGACAACACAAGCTACACCTGCAGCACGTGTAGATTTGATGCCCTGAGAATGGCCTAGACTCTGTAAAATGCTGCAGCTCATTTTGCACTGGCTGCCAGCTAAATTGCCTGAATGGAAAACCAGGGACTACTTCGGGAAGCGTTCCTGAGGGTCCAAAGCAAGTGAAATTCCACAGTCCTTCAGCTGTCCTGCTGGTGAGTGCTGCTGGAGAAAGGACTGGCGCAGGAGAGCTCAGTGCAATGGTGCTTGTGTCCAGCAGGGAAGCTGACCAGCACCACTAAGCTCAGCTGTTGAACTTAACACTGTTACAAATAGAACGGGGTTTTACTGCACTCCAGTTTTAAATGACATTTCTTTGATCAAAAGGGAAAAAATAATAATCAACTTCAGAATCAGTGAGTTAACCAACACTTCTAAAATCAGTCATGAAGATTAAATTTGGAGAGTCAAGCCAACTTCAAATTAAATGAATCTTCTCTATGGCCCTACGTGGCTGTTCAAGCATACAAAGTACCTGGATGTTGCAGTGGCATCTGCAGGAGCTGGTGTATCCAGCACCTCCCTCAAGCCAGGACTGCTGCGAGGTGGGCCTACTTGAGGACAAACACCATCACACAGCTTAACTGGAATTGGTCAAAGTTTCTGTTTCTCATTGGAATTTCAGCAGCACGCATTGACTGGCTTAAATTCAGAAAGAAAATTTAAACCTGGCTTTCACAAGCCAGCGATCACAATGGGAAGTGCTGCTAAACAAAGAATTTGTGGTTTAAGCTAGGTGTGCAAAATTAGTGGAAAGGATCCCAAAGCATACCTTAGCCTGAAATGTTTTAGGAGTGCAACATTTCACCCCTTTCTTGATACTGCCTGTAATTTAAAGTCATGTACCACACAAACATAAAAAAGGACAAAGAGAAGAGATGACATTCACAAGACCAGAACAAGTTACAGGAACTCACCTACGTCAGTTATCTCTGCAACAGAAAGAGGAGAGGTTGGAAAAGTTAACGCACATTCAGTACAGCAAGTCAGTCATGCAAAAGTACAACAGAAAACTAAGAGCTTCTTATCTACAGTGACTTAAATATGAGTCCAAGTCTTTAGGAATTTAGGAAGAACAGTATGTTGAGTATAAAAGTCTCTCATATTACAAGGAAGATGTAGCCCAAAACATGCCAACCACTAAAACACCTTTGGAAACCCACAGGTCGATGTTCAAGTTTAGCCAAAGGAAGGGTTACAAGTTTGAAGTACGAAAGTGCAACAGGACACTGGAAATTCCAGTCTGACATTTCTAGGTTCTTATTAATCAGAAGCAGTTGGTTAAGAAACAAATTCCCAAGTGGCAGGGAGAGTCACGGACCCTAACAAGTCAGTCCCATATACTTTAGTAGGTCACACTGGTATGAAATTGAGTGCATGGAAGCTACCGGGATATTCCCTTTCCTTCCTCAAAAGGGCAGTGGTCACAAAACGCAAGACGTTCTCCCTTTATCCTGCACAAGGAAAGGCAGCTCCATCTCCAGGGTGCCTAAATAAATTTTTGTCTTCAACACTAATACCCCAAAAGCAAACTCCACAAACAATTTGTTCATTTAAAATGTTTTCCCCACATGTACTGGGCGGTTGGTTGGTTGTTTTTAAGCAAAAACTGGCCATTCCAGAGATCTGGTGTATTCATTCAGCTAGGAAAGTGATTTTGTGGACTATGGTCCACATTTCTAAAGCATAAATTAGTATTAAGAAAGAGTAAGTTGTAATTCTTCATAATATACTTCAAGAAGACTATTAGGCAATATTAACACCACATTTTTTTTCAAATAGTAGTTATCGCATCTAGAAAGAAATCTATTCTAACTCAGAAATAAAGTTACGACAGCTCCCTCTGAACACCAAGGCTAGAAAAGTTTGAGATGACTTAGTACATTTTATGTTAAAACTCTGATTGAAAATATCTGGGAAATGTTTTTAGGGAGCTAATTTTTTTGAACTACAACAGGCAGTAATTGCTCCATGGACGTACCACGCTTGAGTTCTTGCAGTAATTTATCCACAGTAATGGTATATGCACACACTCCACCTTCCGCAGCTTCGCTTATCTTTAAATGAAAGTCGTTAAGTTAAGTAATGGTACCTCTGGGCAAGGAGTGTGCAGAGGGGATTACTGTGGATGAGCTGACTGTTAAGCCATCATGACTTCATCATGAGTTCCACTCCATTCCTGCTTGCTTTCTGCAACACTGTGGTGTATGAACATTTCCAATAGCTCAAGATAATACATTTATTCCTCTAGTAAGAGAGAAACAGACTAACTATGCTTTTGAATCACATTTCACACTTTTTTCTGTTATAAGGAAAGCAGAAAACAGCTCAAGTTGAAAAACCCAAGTACCTCAAATAAATACAAGCTCGTGAGATTTCAGATCTCAGGCAAGTAATTGGTAGTATTAATGGCATAAAAAATCCATAAGATGCCTATTCACTGCTTTTGCACAGCACTGGCTGTTGTTCAAGGTAAGTTACTGTGTCAATTTAATTTAGAAATAATATATACTGGGGTACGTAGTGTATGAACACTGAATTCTTTCTTTGAGTGTATCTATCATTTTAGTGGTGACGATGTGGAGAAATTCAGGGAGTTCTTTATCACTCTGTAATAATGGTGTATTAGAATACCTATAATCACAGAGAGTCAACCAGACAAATACTCCATCAGCAAGTTCACAGATTTGACCCAAATCTGGAGTGACCAGGCTCTCCCTGGGATACCACGGGAGGGAAGAGAGCTGTAGTATGTGAAACTTCCAATGCAGCACAGGTAGTTTCCAAAATTAAGCCTTTTCATAACACCTGCTTTAGATTACTTATTTTAGTGGTGAACTGATTTTCACTTCAAACCAGCCAAACATGGAAAACAGGACACTGGACATTCCATTCAGTGGCCGTAGTTACAGAAACATGCCGGTCACTGCCGTTTGTAGTGTAACAAGCACAAAGTAACCCTGGAGTGGCAGACTTACTTAGCCCCTTCCAGCCAGGCTGTACATCGGGGGTGATACTGTCAAGCTCTCGCTGAAACTCTTCTCTAGCTGTAGCCACAAGCTCATGATATTGAGCTACTATTTTGGCCTCAGATTGTGCTGCCTGAACCTGTAACAAACAAAAATGAGATTAGTTTATTTTTCAAGGCAAGTGTTGAGAACATGGAGGCATATGTAATTTAAAGCTAGCCCCTGAGTTAGAGACAGATCGCGTTACCCTCCAGCCCAACCAAAGCAAACTCACTTGGAGGAGAAAAAAACCCCACTTTGTGATATCAAACCTCTCGTATACAATAATTATTTGCTGGAACTACCACTAACCTGTTTCGTCTCACATGCATACTGTAACAAGATAGCCAGTCTGTAGCCCAGACAGGACCAAAAGAGTATCTTAAATTCAGTTTGTATCTTTAAGGATCTCTAGCTCTTTTTTCTCTGCTTACAGCTACCATATAGGCATAATAAGCTAATCTCATGACAGCTGCCCTCCTCTCAGTAAGTTCTGATGTTCCCATTAAATTCACTCAAAATGCACCTGATGAATTATCAGCTGTCCTGCAAAGGGAGATAAATTTCACCTTTACATTTCTTCCCCAGTCTTCTGAGCTGTGAAGTGACTTACCAAGTCATTAGCACACACTGCTCCTACTCCTCCCTAACCTTATGCTAAATTCCTCTTGGAATCAAACAAAGAATTACAAGTCGCCCACAGAAGGGACTGACACCCATCAAGCTGGCTGGAGACTCTTTCAGGACAGAGTTCAAGTTCTCACAAAGATCTTGTCAGGTCTGATTACTGGTAGTATAATCAGCTCGAAAGACTGAGTATGGCTAAAAAAGTACAGAATTTGCAATTTAAAGCAAGCTGCCAAGTAGTCCTTACTTTAATGGCAATTAGAAACAGCCTGTGGAAGCATTACCTTTTTCACAACATTGTCCAAGTCAACTATCATATGATGAAGATTTTCTTCTGCAGCAATAATGTGAGATTTGGCTCCTGCGATCTGAGACTTCTTGGCATTCTCGATTACACCTTTCATCTTCTCTAACTCTTCTCTGAAAAGAGAAGCAGCTGCTAATTATAATGCATACAGGTCTTACAACAAAACCCCAAAGAAAAGTTTATTTTATGCTGTCTGTATTTATAGTAAGAACTACTGGATAACTCTACTGGTGCTTCCCATCTACATCTAGCTCTATGGCTAAGATGCTGTGATTAAAGATTATTTTTGTTCCACAGCCTGAAACCTAGAGATGTCAGTGTGTCTATTTCATGTAAAATGAGAATTATTTATAGTGCAATTAGTACTCAAGACTTAGCTGGAAGGGGAAGATCAAAGACAGTTCTCTGAAAGGAGTTAGTATTAGTAAAACTAAGTTAGTATTAGAGGGCAGACATTTCCATCACATAACAGAGTATCAAGGAAACATTTTTAATATAGATGGCTTACTCTTGCAGAAGTGTTTTGGACATGGTGACTGGTGGAGGTAAATGAGGATGGGAGAAAATTTATAGAGCTCTGTAAAGATAGATTATTTTTTTTTTGTAATTAAGAACGAACTGCTTTCATCTAGCATAACTGGAAATTAAGGAAAAAGTGAAAAAGTGTTCCTTTTCCAAATCCATTCAAACCAATGGAGGTTTGTTTCTAATGACCTCATTGGAATAAGGAACAAGATTTAAAATAAGTTAAGTAAATAAATAAAAGCGAAGGCATCCAGTAGAGCAATAGAGAATGAAAGCTAGCGCATCTGGGGTTTGCATTAGCTTTGTTTTACTCTTTGAAACCTCAGTTACACCTAACTATTTTTAGTCAGCACAGCAACTTCAAAGATAAGAGACATTTAAAACTTAAATAGCAACTGTGCAGCTTCAAGGATGATGTTGCCCTCTCAGCCTCAGAAGCATCAAATGGTTTCCAAATTTATTTCTATCCTCATCACAAGGGCAACTTGGAGGTATTTGTCTGTCATCTTACTTTGGCTGCTATAATCCCTACACAATGAGCCTGCACACCAGACTCGATGCACATCAACATGGTTCATACAGAACCTTGGGTACAAGCAATGCTCCATTTCAGAATTCAAGTTTTTCTTAGATGCACGCTTAGTAAAAATCTAACCTTAAAAGCAACTTTGCTGACAAATGGAACTGCCAAATGATGCCGTAAGGTTTAATTTCTTATTACAACTAAAAGAAACTAGTGATGTTACTGACTTAATACAGAGTGTGCAGTCATGGAGTTCTTACAATAGGTTTAATATTGACAAAAATTATCCAAAAATAATACTAAAAGGATTATGGATTATTTTTTTTAAATCTTGAACTTACTAACACTGTATGTAAGTACTAAGGAGATAAAGAAGTTCTTAAACAGAAAAATAGGACTGTTTCAGACTCCTTGGTACAGTGAGGACTATGCGCACAGGCACCTAAGATGTAGACACTGCAAATTAAAATATTCATTAGTGTATGAAACCTTTTTTTGATTTGTCACAAACACGTCAGTTTAATATGAACACAGGTGACTGCATACTTTCTAGAAACAAATCTAGTGCCTGCCAGCCCTCGCATGGATGATGTTAACTTACCACTTGATAAGCCTTAAAAACAAGCAACTTACTTGGCTTTCAGAAGGGCATCAGCGGCTTCGTCCACTGCTCTCCTCCGATCCTTCAGCGCTTCCTCCAGAGTGCGCCACTGAGATGATTTTTTCTCCCCAGCAGCCTAAGAAGCACAGATTGCTAATTAGGGTCATTACAATCACTAAATAAGAGTTATCAGAAAAAATGACAGCCTGTAGAGATTCACACATGGCTACACATTTCACTCAAACTGAGCAATATTCTTGTGTTTTACCAACAACACAGCTGGAAGCTTTACAAATGATTTTTCTCTTCCAACATTTGGGTTTGGTTTTGTTTGGTTCTTAATGTTTTTCTTCCACCTGATCAACAGCCATTTGTTCACACAGAAGAGCTTGTGTGAGGATCACTGTATCGTGCCGCAACATTTTGTGGGGAAATCTCTACATGTATTAAAGTACTGTAATACTTTAAAACTGCTTTTAAGCTTAATACTTAAAGTACCATAATACTTTAAAAGTTGCTTAATTTTAAAGTAAGCTTAAGTATTAAGCTTAAAAGCAAACTCTTACAATACTTGTTTTTCTAACTACTAGATTAAATCTCGAGTGCTTGTTTAGTTGCCCATATGCCCCTGTGCATTTGATTAACCACTAAATTATATTCTCTGCTCCAGAACTGAACAGGAAGCAGTGGTTCCACACAAACCCTGGCATTAGCACATCAGAACCACAAGCTGGTATTGCTCATGCATCCCCTATGCATTTCCAGACAAGAAATGAACAATCCAGCAACAAGATTTTGGCAAAGGGAATGGTTCAATGGAATTGTCAGGGTGTACAGCATGATACCCTAACTATATCTAGGTAAAAAATGGGCTTGGGAATTAAAATACAATGAATTAAAATACAACGTGAAGACTATCAATGTATTAACTTGAACTTTTCTTCTTTCAAAAGTGAAATAAAGAAGTTGGAAAAAAAAAAATTCAAAAGCAAATCCCATGTATTATTCAACTACACTGCATTTCACAAGTGGAAAGATCAGTTAAAACTGCGATGAAAGTAAAGACGTTGCAAGAAAAGCTTCCAACTTTATCTTTAATTGTGAAAAGTTTTGCTGAACACAGTACAAAAAAAAAAATTGTCCCCATTTGTCCAGTTTACCTCAGAATTGTCCATGGCCTCCTTCAGTATTTGTGAATGGGCATTCACTGCTTGCACAGCAGACTCCTGGGCAGTAATCGCCTGAAGGGTTATACGAGCTGTTGCACTTAGGGCTCCTTCTAGAGTTTCAGCAAGGGCTAGAAAAAAATGAATTAGCTGAATTAAACTATAAAGAAAAGAGCCTTAGAATTAGTAAAATAACACATTATATCCTCTTCATCTCCTTATGATGTTTTCTATGACCCCAAAAAATTGGTCAGTTCAGGAACTACCACTGCAGCCTACGGAAGAAAGGTTGCCAGAACACGCTTCTTATTTAGAGGAGTACTAAGGTGTAAGTCTGCACTTAGAGCATGTCCTGGTTTCAGCTGGGATAGAGTTAATTGTCTTCCTAGTAGCTGGTACAGTGCTATGTTTTGAGTTCAGCATGCGAAGAATGTTGATAACACTGATGTTTTCAGTTGTTGCTAAGTAGTGTTTAGACTAAAGTCAAGGATTTTTCAGCTTCTCATGCCCAGCCAGCAAGAAGGTTGGAGGGGCACAAGAAGTTGGCACAGGACACAGCCAGGGCAGCTGACCCAAACTGGCCAACGGGGTATCCCATACCATGGGACGTCACATCTAGTGTCTAAACTGGGGGGAGTGGGGGCGGGGGATCACCGCTCAGGGACTAGCTGGGTGTCAGTCGGCAGGTGGTGAGCAATTGCCCTGCGCATCATTTGTACATTCCAATCCTTTTATTATTACCGTTGTCATTTTATTAGTGTTACCATTATCATTATTAGTTTCTTCTTTTCTATTAAACCGTTCTTATCTCAACCCACGAGTTTTACTTCTTTTCCCCATTTTCTCCCCCATCCCACTGGGAGGTGGCGGGGGTGTAAGTGAGCAGCTACATCGTGCTTAGTTGCTGGCTGGGGGTAAACCATGACAGAGCAATAAAGCTACTCAGTGGAAGACCTTTACCATGTTTCTGCAGGTGGGTACATTTAATCCAATAGGTATTTTCCATCTTCATTTGTTACAATGGTTATTAAGAGGAAACAAGTAAATTTTCCTATCTTCCACAAGGAATGATATATTCCAAAAGCAGAGTTATTCTTCCTACCCAAGAAGGTGGTGGACTCAACTATCTATTCCTATTGGTATAGAAGCACAAATGAGCTATTAATTATTCAAGCAGGAACCAAACCAGAATGGTTAATCAGACCAAGCAATATCTGTCTTTCTGGAATGAGCCATTTATTTCTAAGTAGTAGGTAAGTAAACCCACCTTTCCAGTAAATACTCCTCTGGATTTTTTCAGTGTAACATTTCAACTTCTTCACTTGCAAAAAAAGTCCTTGTATGAAGCAGACAACTAATGCCAAGCCTCTTGTTTCTGTTCGTGTTGCTCTTCTATACCACACAAAGTTCTGAACAGAAGCAAGCAGCAGCAGACCACAACCAGCATGTCTACTCTGAGCCCATTAAGTCCCAGCTTGTACATCCTTCTCATCCCTTGTGTGCCACAACAGCCCAAGGCTCGGACTTTGGCTGAGGACCGAAGCACTCAGAGGGAAGTCGGAGTGTGGTCAACACATCTGCCAAGATCCCATTTCACGTGCACAGCAGTCGGACAGGTCAGATCACACACAGCACACTGTGCCACCGCCTCTTCCACCATCAGCCCTTTCCAAGCACAAAGAGAATAGTAAAATAAAATGGCCATAGCTCCCACAGCAGGCTGAAGCATGTCCAATACGTGGCCTCAGTCCGGTTAAACTCCCTTTCAAGCCTATTTTCACTGGCTACACCCATGTTAGCAGTAAACTGCCACTTTCTTTAAATACAGTTTCTGTTCAGCATCCTTGTAGTCAATGCCTCTAGCCTACCCACCCCCAAAGACTCCTTCCCTCACCACAGAAGGTCTACAGAGCCGTTGCAATCAGCAGCCCTTGCACTGCCCCAAGTCAGAAGTCGTCCTTCGCCCATCTGTTCCTCCAAGAGGCTGGTCTCCCTCTTGTCCTCATCAACACTGGCTGGAGGACGATACGGAAGTTTTCTAACACTGCAAGCAATCTGCAGCTTGAGCTGCATTTGCTTTCAGAAGGTAAATATCAAGGTAGCTGGTTACAGATTGCCCAGACATGCTAGACAGCAAAACACCATCTACCAAAAAAAATTTCTCTATTTTTCTGGCCTCCCCTGAAGCAAACCAGGAAAAGACCCAAAACTGCTGATTTAAACAACTGTGCTGCAGCCAAACCCAGACCAAACAACAGCCCAGAAGTATTTAAAATCTAACAAACTAAGTGGGGGGTGAAGGGGGAAGCAAAACTCTTTGTTTTGATCAAGACACAAGGAGGACATGAGCTTTGGGACCAGACCACCTCTCAGTAATACAGCTGGATTAATAGGTCTGTCTGAGTTAGAACCCAAGCAAGGAACTGTCATAGTTCCCAACCCAGAACCTACAGGCAACTCTTCACAGCGCCTTGACATACCGTCCCTGAACCACTATCGAACAAGTCTAAGCAGCAGCTCTGTAGGCAAGGACCTGAGGAACCCAGACGATGGCAAACTGAACACGAGTCAACAGCGTGCTCTGGCAGCAATGAGTCCTGGCCATTAACTGGGCTGCATCAAACAAGAGCACATCCCATGGATCAAGTGAAGGAATGATTTCCCTCTAATTGGCACTTAGAGACTACATCGTCAGTGGAGTCAGAGACTCCAGATGAGACTACATCTGGAATACAGTGTCTCAGTATAAGAAAGGTACAAACAAACCAGGGAGTGAGCACTGGAGAAGCACTCAGATGGTTAGGGGATGGGAGCACATGACACAGATGAGAGGCTGAGGGATCCGGGCTTGTTCTAGCCTAAAGAAGAGAAGCCGAAGGGGTATTTTAAGTAATGCCTTCCACATCTAAAGGAGTGTCACAGAAGAGACTGAACCAGACTTCTCAGAGGTGCCCAGAGAAAGGGCAAGAGGCAACAGATTCAAGTGCCAGCAAGAGAAATTAATTGGATGTATCAAGTCCTCCATCATAAGAAGCACTGGCAAAGCTGCTCAGAAAGGTGGAACAATCTCCATCCTTGGAGAGCTTCAAACCTCCAGGGGAGAAGGCCCTGAACAACATGCCCCAACTCTCCAAGCAGGGGGTGGACTAGAGACCTTGGAGGTCCATTCCAACCCCAAATTTTCCATCATTCTTTCACTATCAGTTACTTCTTAGTGGGTGGAAGAAGCTTCAACACCACTTGTTCTGCCAACACAACACAGGGACAATGAGAAAAAGGCATGCAAGCAACTTAGAACTCCAAAGCCAATACAGTCCAACAATTCTTCTCTCATGTGTAACACATATAGGAAAACTATCAGTATGGACTTACCCGCTATCTTCTCTTTCTCCTCTTTTTCTTGCTGGGCAAGCCGGGCTGCAACTTCTTCTGGTGACCGTTCTTTTATAGCATGGGAACCTTCATGTTCTTTACCTATTCAGAAGTAAAAAGAGTTATACCGTTTTATCAGAGAGTCCATATTAGTATATGGATTACTTGTAAAGAATTAACTTTCTTTTCAAAGCTGGTTTTTATAGTCAGTATCACTTTATAAATCTGAATTCTGCATGAAGCCATGCTGAAACTACATCAAACTTTTTTACACCCATAACTACAAAGGCCAGTCTCAAATATTCTTAAAATTAAAAATAGTAGCATCGATACCTCACATGCATCTGTAGATTTTATGTTGTCTAGTTACAAAAATATACAACATTCAGAAGTGAAAGGCAAAGCAAGAACTGGAAAACACTTACAGTGCCAAGTTTAAATTTAAAGTGAACATGTGTTCTTATTTCTTTTTTTCAGTTCTCCTTTGGCATGCTTGAAGAGTCCAGCCAAAGTAAAGAAAGATTAGGGAGGGAGCTATAGTGAATCACAATTATACTCTATTCCCTAGCCTAGGGCTACTTAAAATGCCTTAAGAGTGAGAATTGACCTAAGTAATTCTCTCAAGACCAACAGCAGTCTGCATCTGAACTGAGGAGAGCACCCAGACCTCTCAGCTCTCAGACTCATGCTGCAACAAAACCCATCAAGTTACCTTTTAATAATGCTGATGCTAACTCTGAAGAATGTATTTGCTTATTGCTGGCATACTTTCTATGAAATGTGTTCATTCATAAGGAAATTAATATCTCAACTGAAAGAGACTATCATATAGAAGCTAGCGTTTCTTGTTGAGTTAAACAATAAATGCAGTTTCTTCCCTTCCTCTTGCATTCACACCTACACCTGTCCCAGGTATCAACCTCAGCTTCTTAGTATGTTAAAAATCTATTAACAGATGATGGAAGTTTTCTTCTGCAAAAGGCAGAGAGAATCACACCTTTAAAAACTGACAAATACCAACACAGAAGTAACAATTTATGCACTCGAAGCTACAGGATTTTGTTTTTCTTCATCGTGTTGATATGATCTTTTTCACCTTCTTCAGTCTGTATCCCCGGAGCCGGCACTGACATGGCTACACCTGTTGCGGAGATGATCTGAGCTGCAGCCTTGCCCGCTGTTAAATACAATAATAGAACAAAATCAGTTAGTATATACGAGCTATAATATAAGAACACAGATACAAGACTTAGGTTTTTTTTCCTCTGCAGAAACATCATTTGGACACTAATATTATTTCCAGAAAAAGAGAATTTCCTGGACAAACAGCAACCAGGTATTGCTTACAAATACACACACACACAGCCATGAGAGACAAATGTAGAAAGATGTCACAACTGCTCCTCTCTAAACCAGTTCCATTTGATCTGGCTTTACAGTACCTCAGTGATTATCCAAAATTAAGCTTCTTTCACTTGCACAGAGAAGAAGAGGTAAATGGCCTCAGAGTGCAACACCCAGAGTGCTCTTTCTGCTGAGTCTCCTATCTCACCTGTGCAGTCATTGTTTGTGTTAGATTCCAAATATCCTATAAAGTAAATACATTTCCAAAAAAAATAGCCAGAAAAAAAAAGCTAAAGCCATTTCAGACAGATTTTCTCATGACTGAAAAGAAACTAACATTATTTCTAAGAAATTCTAACATACTCATCTTCAACCACTCCAAAGGACTATTTTAATCTACCCTAGGATATATGATGCAAGAGATCATTAATTCTTTAGCTTCTCTCTACATGACATTCTGTAAAGTTACCTTCTTTTTCCTCTGAAGGAGCGACAGCTTCTGTTTTGCTCCTCTGGGGTTTGGTAGCAGGCTGTTTAGACTCTTTCATTACTTCTGCTACAGATGAGATCTTCAGTGGACCTTGCGGTACCTTGAAAAATCAAAAACAAGAAATATCATCAGTTTTCCAAACAGCCTATGTCTCACCGATTCCATTATAACAGAAAAGAACATTTCCACATCCAGACGACTGTATCATAAATATAAACTTCAAGGTACACATGAAAACAGTAGCAAGGCCATATAATTTCTTGCCTTGATTTTTAAATTAGAAGGAATCTTTACAATTTTCACCTCTCCAAAACTGAAGGTATAGTAGTGGCAGTATTCACTACAAATAAATATTTGTTAAGGTATGCATAAAAAGCAAGTACTTCCATGCCCCAAATATTCCAAACACTTCTGAGTGTGTTGAACACTTCAGATAATGCAGAAACTATAAAAATCACAGGCACATGAAAGTCTGAAACAACTCCAGAAAGCAGATTTCAATTATTTCCCCTTGGACATTAGTTACTCCATACAGGTATATCTTAACTTAATTCAGTTGACACTTCTCTTCGTTTCAAACCTCTTGAGCACTTATTGCCAAAACAAGTTAGGCCATCAGTCTTCCCAACCCAGCTTCAGTTTTCAGGTAAGCGCTCCAACAGCTTGCTCCCTCAATTGTAATTTTTTGTCCACCAACACTTATGGGTGTCACCCCTCCCACCCTGCCCAGTTTCTAGGCAATTCCTTTTGAAGTTGAGTAGAAGAAATATATAATTGTTTTAAAGACACATGACTGCATAATTAAAGATATGTTTTAAAAAAAGAATAAACGTGATGATTTTATCTGGGTATCACTGAACAGAAGATGCTACAGGCATGGTGTGTGGTTGACAAGCATGGAAGAATCAGAGTTGCATGTCTTCACTGATTTCCCTTTGAAAAGATTCAGATGCTAGCGTTCAAGGCAGATGAACACTTACTCAAGTGCAGAGTATTGCAAGGTTTTAAGATATTAACCCTTTAATATCCATCATGCAAAGCCACAAGGTAAAAGTAAAAGCATATGAGTTAGAGCCATGACTGGGCAAGTGATAACTTTGCCATCTGACCGGTCTGTTTTGCAAAATTGACTAGTGCCTGGGAGGCATTAAGAGCTTGGATGATCACAAGTCAAGCGTAGCTAAAACCAGAAGAGGTACAGTTTTGTTTAACTGGTATTCTCCCATTCATTAAAAAACAGCTTTCTTAAACTACAGTTAAAAATATTTTGGGCTTCTTGAAGGTCAAATGGCTTCTGAAAGCTCAGGACAGCCCTGGCCAAAGCAGCTTTTCAGCATCCTTGGATAATTGGGAAGCGTTTGCTTTCAGATGCAGGAACAGAGAAACTTCCAGATTGAATTTCCAGAGTTGTGCTGAAAGCAGCATCAGGTTTTCCCTTCTGCAGGGTCGTGCCACTAAGATTTCAAAGTATGATGCTTACGCATGGCTCTGTGCCATTCAAAGTTTTATCAATTTGAAAAGTTCTCAGTTTTCTTTAAAATAAATTCAGCTTAGAATAAACATTGTCTAATCCTGCTACATCGCTAGCTACGCTGAAACTCTAGCCACAGTAAAACAGTTGAATTCCAATGCGTCACCTACCTTTCTCTCCCCCCAATTTATCTACATATAAGGAGAACAGCTATTCAGTTAGGATCCTACTAATTATTTTACTGTAAATAAAAATAACAGTTTTACAACCCACAGACCATAATCACAAGATGATAAATGGGAAACATACAAGCATCACTGTTATGCAGAACAAAGTAGTACCTCAGTTCATAATTCTTAAACCTTCTTAATTTAAGAATTCTTACAAATTCTTAAAATTCTTAAATTCTTATGACACAGCAAAATTAATCAGAATTTGAAAACTAAGAGCAGATGCTCTCTTAAAAAAAAAAAAAAAAAAGGGTGAGGATGAATCAGAAACACTTACCGGTTTCTTTGGCATCGGTGCGCTATAAGGTGCAGGACCAAGTGCCATCTCAAAGAGTTTATCAGAGTAGGGAACGGCCTTCTCTACACTCTCCCGGAACTGCGTATCATAGCTGGCATACAGGACGGTTCCACCTACTCCTCCACCCACAAACAGGACACCTGCACCAATGATTTTGCCTACAGAAACACTGAGGGGGAAAGAAGAGTGAAATTTATATCAATTGTATTATGTGACGAACATCAAACAGTTTGTGAGTCTTTAGCTTACAGCTGGGGACAACCACTCTGTTCCAGAAGCCTGCCAACAAACCCAGCACCCACTTTAATTCACTTTCAGCACCAGCAAATCCCTGGTACCATACTGGTTCATGACTAACCCAAAGATAAGATGGCAACCCACAACCCTCCTTCTAAATACTGATCATCTTGATTAGCTTCATTTAAACCTGACTGAATCTAACGAGGAACACACAAAACCATGAGAATAAGAGTTACGCAACAAAAAAAATCCCACCACTACCAATTTGCTCTCACGTGAAACTAAGGAGCAGATTCCCTCTTGGTCAATGCAACAGAAGAACCAACTCCACCCTCCAAAACTTTCTACGTACCTAGACTCTCCTGGTGGGGTAGCATATCCACGGTACAGTCGTAATGGACGGAGTGACTGTCTCCCACACCGGCTATTCTGCAAGGGGTGGAAGAGGCAAGAGTTAAGCAGTGAGCACATTTAAACCTCTCTTCACCTTAACAGCAGTATCAGATCAGTTTGCTCCGTCTTGCATGCCCTCCGAAGGAAAGTGGCAGCCGACACTGGAGCAGTGATGTTGGACTCTGTTTTCCCTAAACAAAGAGAGCTTTCTCGCATGCAGCTTGTAGGTTAAGGACTTTTAAGGGAGTAATTAGGCATTTTGAAAAACGAGCCAAAAAAACCCAAACACCACCTACTCCAGCTTATTTCTGCATTTCTTTTGCCTACTTATGTTCCCTACCTCCAGTCTGGGCAGTACAACTGGGATAGTTCAGATTCTCTTCAACAATCTCATGCGCTAGAACAGCTCAGCTGCGAGCAGTGCAGAAGACAACAACAGCTGTTTAAACACTTAAAACTATTAAAAAATATATTTAATACCTAAAACTATTTTTATTTCTGAAGACATACAAGCAGTTCTCCTTGAGCTTCCAAACCAAGACTTCCACTTTAAAAGAATTAACAACGCATACACTTTCCAGAAAGTCATCAGATTATAATATAAATGAAATTACTATACGAAGAGTGATATTTCATTATATTCTACTTAACAAAAACCACATTACCCAAGATTTTTATCTTCTTTATATTTTAGCTGAAAATTAAGATTTACCAGAAGGACTGGTTAAGCTGCTCCAGCCTACAGAGGGAAAAACACTGTCCCCCTCAGGTGGTTTTTTTTTTTCACCACACATGAACTGTTAAGAGAGAAATACAGGACTCATGGGAAATCAGTGTACAAGGCACAAAAAGAACTTTTCCCATAGTTTAGATATTTTGGCCAACTAGGAAATTTTCCTTTAAACAAAACAAAACAAAACAAAAAAAAAGGAAAACTGGGAGATGCTTCACTACAACATACCCCCAGAAGATAAATTTCTCTATTTCCTTTTGCATACAGCAATAAGTAACAAGTACAAGTCTTGTGGTTTAGGCCCCATCCTTGTCCAACAGCGTAGAGATGAGAAGCAGGAACACTGAATTCTTATTCTTTCCAGAACAGCAGCCAGAATTTTTTAATTAGTAACAGGAGCATGTGTACAGCAACAGGAAATGTGCTCTTCTTACCCGAGACCTTCATGAGCCCTAGCTGCGCTCCGTGGTTGATTTTCTGGTTTACAATGGATAGAATGGGCGACAAAACAATAAATATATTCTGTAATGTTTTTGATTATTAGACTTGATTGCCCCAGAAGCATACACCAAGGCTCCACCAGTCCTTTCAAATGGAACGCCACTAATAAAAGCCTCTTAAAGAATTTTGTACTTAACTGCTGGACATGCTTCCGAGTCTCAATACATCCTATTACACCATGAAGCATAGGATGAGCATAATATTTGAGCATTATGTGTACAGCCCAACCCAATAAAATGGGGGTGGGGTGAGGTGTATTTTCTATTGATCTGTTCACTTTCAGTCCCCTCCCACACCCTGGATTTACATTATTTTGCCTAATGGTCACCTGGAAATAAGCCATCACTCCCCAGCCCCTTGCCAGGCTTTCTGGAGGTTATTACACCCTGCGCCACAGCAAGACGGAACTTCAGGCAACTGAAGCTGCCACAACTGTAACCTCGGTGCCTGGGCCAGTTCATCTATTTTCATGTTGGCTACAGCCCCTACTCACACCTAGTGACGGCAAATAACACCCTGACCGCTTAGTTCTCTCACCTTCAGTACACACATCTGCTCCTGCGCTTAGGAACAGGCTGCACTTAGGGAGGTAGCAGGGCAGAGGAGAAAACTTGCTGCTTCTTGTTCAGCATTTATGCTTTGTACACCAGAAGGAGGTTTTTTGGTGGGATTATCGTTTTTAGTCCAGATGCTCTTTGCACCAGACAAAATTTCAAGGTCTCTTCCAAGCAGGGCTGTTCTGTGATTAGCCAAATCCTCATTTTTATTCATCATTCATCAAAATGAGAGAAACCAAAATGCAGGTGCTCAGTCTACGCTGTCAGACTCTCGCGCTAGTGTACACATAGCAATGGGAGCAATAACCTAAACCCGAAACAAGCCCCCACCAGCTGTTTCTTTCAAGATGCTGCAACAAACAGAAATTCCCACAGCTGGCCAGGAGAACAACAACCAAAAACCTTTAGGTACCAATGTTTTACAAGCAGAAGTCCAAGTCTAATTTTTCTCCCTTGCATCCAAATACAAGATTACCTCCAAAAATCACTGATTTTTTAAAAGTCAATTTTTTAAAGAAGCACTGCTCTCTTTCAGCCACCATAATAATCTTGCTTATATTTGCTGTATCACTGTAATTTGGAAATGGTAGTTGCTAATCTTCCCTTTGCATAATTCTTAGGAGTTTGTAATTTTTTAGACCCTTGTTATTTATTTGTAATAATGCCTCAAAGGATTTGGAAGAAATGCATCACACATGCGTTGCACGTAAAAGGCAGAAATAAACCACTTGCTGTCCTGCAGAAGAGAAGATAAAGAAAACTCTTTTGATAAGACAGACAGCACAGAACCCTGTAGCAACGGCACTGCAGGACAGCTGTCGCCACTTCTTCCTCCTCTTCCAGCAGTTCTATGTACTATTTGTTTCACCTAACGTCTTAAATGCTTATTATTTTATATTCGTTATCTACTGTTATATCACCACGAGAATCACTTTGCAGGGTGTATCATACCTTCACTCCAGTTAATATTAAGAGCCCCAGTGAATCTGACATTTGAGGTTATCCACGTGAGGTCCCCCTGGCAAAGCACTCAGGACAGGTACAGCACAGCATGGCAGAACATCATTAAAAAAATAAAGTCTGCCTTGCAGGCTTATGCGTCACACATAACTTCAAATAACCAGACACAGGACACACCATCCTTTGCTCTTCATGCAGTCCCAGCTAAACCTCTCCTAGTCACCAGATTTAAGCACCTTGACCCAGAATTTGCACAGAATGAAGCTCGCAAGACATGTACGGTTTTCTGCAACATGGGATTTGTGTACTTAAACAGAAAGAGCAAACCAGAAACTTCAGAGGAAGTTTGTCTTTATTATGATAGATGTTAGGTGTAACAAGGATATCTGACCACAGAACTCAAATTAATTTCCCATTACTCAAGACTTCTGCCAAATATTGTACCTTTTTACAAAAAGCCCTCTGTTTCTTTTCAAAGAAAACTACAGAAATACTCCAAATACGGGAAGAGCTTCTCTCCAGCACTGCACATGTAGCTGAAAATATTTATGAAATCGCTATGATGAAGACCCACTTCTCTCAAAGCCAGAGCTTCAATTTACTTGTTAACAAGCTTACTGATCCTCCACGTAGAGAGCTCACAGTCGGAGAGAAGGATAAAATTTTTCCCAGTCTCCACGACGAGCTCTCCACTGGGATTTTCTGTACTTAGACCATCACACTGCTCTGGCTTTGGGGAGCAGCAGTTGCTTTGCTATCCCCATTCAGCCACGCTCAGCCTCCCAGCTCTCTCAGTCTGCTTAAGCAACCGAGCATCCTCAGGGACCCGTTATCCCACAGTCCTGACTAGGTCCAGCTCTCCTTAAGACAACCGGATTTTTTGACCTGTAAAGGAGTATCTTAACATCGCAAAACAGGGGCAGACTTGCCTCGCTGTCAGTCTCCATATAACATATAAGTAAAAAGGATTTATCTCCATTCTTAAAAAATATTGTTACAACTTGCTACTCCTAATATTTAAAAAAAACCCACCGCCACACATGTCTCTTTTTGGGCTGTATCAAAGCAAAACAATCAAGTTTCACTAGATGAATAGCAAGGTACCAGCAAGATGCTGTCATTCTAGTTATGCCACCATCAGGTCTGCAGACAGATGCTGAGGCTCTGGCCTGAGCTTTAGCTAACTGAACAGGGCGAGAGAAACTCCTAATTGTGACATGAGACACATCAAGTCTTGTGTCAAAAAAAGAAGGACAAGAGTGCAGACAGGGTAGTAAAGACAAGAACATGGAAGATATAAAAACTGTGTCATCGTGGCTGCCTGGGGATCACCACAGCTGGAGTAGAGAATACCAACGCTGTTACTCTGGCAAGAAAGTGTCTGTTTAATGCGCTCTCCCAGGCAGGAGGATGCAGGCAGCGAGGATGCCTTCCCTTATTAGCAAGGCAACAGGCAGCACAGTCAGATGGAGCATCCTGGTGTCACCACGTTGGTGCCCATTCCAGGCCTGATATCAGCATCTGCATGACAACCTCTTAACAGCCAGAGGCTCGTACTTCCATGACGGGAGTTTTCACTACTTGTGGAAAAATTACCTAGTATCATCTCAGATCACATTAGGACCTCTTGGTTAGAGTCCACAATTCTGCACCTCTTGCAAAACAAGCACTGTAATTAAAACATTTCTCTCCTACTTCCAGTTTCTGGTTCTTTTGCCACCCAAAAAGAACCAAGTTTTAGCTGCAGAAAGTTCACAGGACCAGAAACTGTCTTCACATGTATATACTACAGTATGCCACAAAGCTTCCCTGCAATATGAATCAAGAGAAGCAAAACGCATAAAAAACTCTTTGCACTTTTGTTGTCCAAAGTAAATCTCCATTGTTCTCAGCCTCATCAGGAAATACGAGCAGGGATGAAGGAAAAAAAAAAAAGATATTTTCTGAAGTAAGGATACAGACAACAAACTTCACCAAGTGCTGTGGCATCTCTGTGTTTGCATGGTTCTTCCACCAAACTTTTCTAGACCGAAGGCACACTTCTGAGCTGCAAAGCACAACATTGGCTTTTCCAGTGCTGTACAGTCATTCTGAACACCTTCTCTGAAAGGCTGAGTAAGTGCAAATAGTCCTAAGCGATAAACACTTCCGCAAGCCTGTTTTCTGTTTTCTCAACTCCCAGCTAAAATTTTCCACAGGGCTGCAAACCCAGAGTCTTATTTTAGCGGGCATCAGATGACCTGGCCCGGAGAACCCTCCAGCCTTACAAAGCAGAAGAGGAAACGCCAGCTGCCCCACTGGAAAAGATTGCTAGTTTTAAAGCAGTTACCTTTCAACTACAGAGCCAGCAGGGGCTGAACACACAGCTTTTCCTTTGCTGAACCGCGTGAATAGAGAGTAACGAACAGTGGAACGTAGAGTAGTATACAGAAGTGATCTAATCAGATCGGTTTTTATTACTGTTAAGCAGACACCTGAAACACAAGTTGGGGCCTTGGCAGAGGAGTCGCCCTCACCTATAAACCCTCGTAGCTTCTTAAAAGTTGGCCGACTGCTTTAAAAAGGCTCCGCAGCATATTATCATCCTAATCTCTGGTGGCGAGGGAGGGCGAAGGTCCAGAAGAGACGCCCAGCGGGCACTTCTCCCCCTGGCACCGCATCCTCTCTCCTCTTTCCTGTCAGACTGCGAGGACGAACGGATCCCGGAGGCCGAAAGGATCCCGGTTACGGCCACCCGGTACCACAGGCCCCCCTCGCACCTCACACACATCACCCTGAGCACCGGGACCCCCCCCGTCGTTACCACACGGTCGGACCCGCTGGGCTCTAAACGGGGAAGGGCTGTTGTGAGGTACCGGCTGCCGCAGGCCGGGGCGGCGCAGAGGAGGCCGCGGCGGGGAAGGCAAGGTCACGTCCTTCCCCCGCTGGTAAGCGGGCCCGGCCGCCCCGCCGCTGAGGAGACCGGCGGCC